GCAAGTGTAATATTGCGTGCTTAGGGCTGCAACTGGACAGTCCCAACCCAAACTTTTGCAATGGGCTTGGCTTATTTTATCCAGCCCAAATATCCTACTCACTCTCTACCCGTGGTGAATTGGAGCCACACATCTCTATGAATTGAGAGATGTGTGGCTCCAATTCACCGGGATAGAGCGTGGGTAAGAAAAATGAGTAGGAAATCTCGAGTGTATTTTATTGGGCTTTGCATTGAGCCTGAACCCGGAAACTTGGGCTTGACCTCAATGTAATCTGAGCTCTATTCATGTGTTCATCCCATCCCATGTAGACATCCTCATCATCATCATCCAAGCCTTATCCCAATTATATTTATATGGTCAATCTAGGTCTATATTCATTACAATACTTGAATGAGGCAAAAATGCCCCTTTTAATAATGTATTTTTATTGCTAAATGGTCATTGCCTTATTTACCTGAGAAAATAAAAGAACATCGGTATGCACTTACCCGAGTAAGTGTTTCTCAAGAAAAAATTACCCAGATAATTACATTTACCCGAATAAATAACTTACCGAAAAGCGAATGAGGCCTAAGTGGAAAAAATGCTAACTTCATCTCTGTTTCTATATTCAACCAGCTGGTATATCAAATTTCATATATAATCATAAATCATGATCTTCTTCACAATTGGCGGTTGATTTAGAGGCTTTTTGGGATTTGGAAAGAGTACATGAAGTAGGAGTTTGGTCCCATTTCTTAAGGACAAGAAAACGTTGATTTGAGTCAATCTTATTTCATTAATTTTCCCTCATTTCGTCTGTTTCAAATTGGAAATTCGACTCTGTTAGGATGCTTTCCAAAGTCTACACAAATCATTAGATGGCAAAGGGTGGGGTTTTATTGACCCAATACCTCTGCTATGTTTTTTTAGTTGATCTCTCTCCTGTGTTTGCTATGTTGAGCGAAACACAATAACATATTAATGAGTTAAGAAGATGGCATAAATGGATCGGATCCTTTCCATAAATGACCCAAAATTCGACCCATTAAATTCCTTACATTGGCTCAGTCCGGTTGAGCTACACGAACCAGTCTGATGGTTTTGTTTCACAACAAATCAAATTGGTTCACATCAGTTTGGCTGCACAAACCAATTATAGTTGGTTTGTTTCCAATGACAAGATTTCAAAGAGTTTAGTGTTACTAATTAACAGAAATGATTGCAAATTTCAAATAATTTACTGCTAATTACTATAAGTTTACTAATTATTTTAATAGAAATAACAGTATATAAATTATTTTGTTATTAACACTGATGTAGCGTAATCTGGCTGCTCCCTACTAGAGAAGATTTGGCTGCCAGCAACGACAAGAACTGAGGTTCCTGCAAGAAAGGAGTCAGAGATCTCGGGGTGGCTTACCCGGCGGGGACACTCCAATGGCTAAGTTAGCACTTAGTAGTAGAGAGCTTGATGATGATATCAAAGAGTTAGAGAGCTAGAGAGCAAAGATTACGCATACCTCTCACCCATAGGGGGTGAGGTCTTTATATACTGGAGTCTTCGCGGGTTTGGTGGAGTGGTTCCTGGATCCTCGCTGTGATGGGATCCGTTTCTGTGTTAGGTGGGGATAATGCCACCAACTGGTAAGGTTGCCCACCTCCGCCTGAATCGGGGAGTGGGTGAGCTAATATAGTCGTTACAAAGTATGATCCCGTAAGATGCAGGGTACGGTGGTGAGATCCTCGGGGTTGTCATGCGGAGGTCGACCTGACTAGGTAGCGAGCTACATGTGAAGTGCCGGGCTGCTTGGTGGCGAGCTGCCCGACATGCTCTAAATGCTGAAGTGCCTTAGTACTGAGGTGATCTCACACCGAGGTAAGCTTGCCTCGAGGTGGATTCTTTCCGAGGTGGTCCATTGGTCTGGGTTCGATGTGTAGCGGACTTGATATCGTTATTCTGGTTAAGATCTAATGCCGGGGTGATCTTGGTTCTGGATAGCTTCAGTTCGGGGTGTCAGGGTACCCGTGGTCGCTTTGTAGTGAACTGATCAAGCTGAGCTGTCACTTGTGTTGAGTCACGTCCACATGTCTCCCTGTTATGAGGTCGGGCCCAACTTCGGGCCCGGATTTTACTACGATGCAGGCCGAATCTGTGATAGCCCAAAACATGAAAGTTGTGGATTTTTCTCTTATCTATCAAGTGGATCTTAAATCAGCCCAATCGGATTCGGATATGCGAGTTAGGCCCAGATTACTGAACGGTGCCGAAACTATGAAAAATCATCCGAATTGCCTTTTTTTGCTCCTGATGCTTTCTTTCATGCCCTAAACCGAAATATAAGAAATATGAGTCCAATTAAGTACTAATTAAGTATGAAAGACAGARTATTTGGGGATAAAAATATGATAAATTCTACTCTCATCAAATCCCCCCACTATAGGGGGAAGTGGGGCGTTCACAGACATAGTTGGTTGAGGTACAGTCAGTGCTGGGATCCCACCCGCGAGGAGCAGTATGGTGAAATGACCTGTGCAGAAAGACGGGAACTAAGGTTGCCCCCTGAAGACGTTCGCTTCGTTGTGCTGTCCGGCATTGCTGGAGGAAGCCATGGGTTTGATTTTGAGCTTGAGGTTTCGGAAAAAGGGCTTTTAGTAGCAAGTTCCCACAGACGATGCCAAATGATGTAGCGTAATCCAGCTGCTCCCTACTGGAGACGATCTGGCTGCCAACAACGACGAGAACTGAGGTTCCTACAAGAAAGGAGTCAGAGATCCTGGGGTGGCTTACCCGGCGGGGACACTCCGATGGCTATGTTAGTACTTAGTAGTAGAGAGCTTGAAGATGATATCAGAGAGTTAGAGAGCTAGAGAGCAAAGATTACGCATACCTCTCGCCTGTAGGGGGTGAGGTCTTTATATAYTGGAGCCCTTGCGGGTTTGGTGGAGTGGTTCCTGGATCCTTGCTGTGATGGGATCCGTTTCCATGTTAGGTGGGGATAATGCCACCAACCGGTAAGGTTGCCCACCTCCGCCTGAATCGGGGAGTGGGTGAGCTAATATAGTCGTTACAAAGTATGATCCCGTAAGATGCGGGGTACGGTGGTGAGATCCTCGGGGTTGTCATGTGGAGGTCGACTTGACTAGGTAGTGAGCTGCCTGTGAAGTTCCGGGCTGCTTGGTGGCGGGCTACCCGACATGCTCTGAATGTCGAAGTGCCTTAGTATTGAGGCGATCTCGCACCGAGGTAAGCTTGCCTCGAGGTGGATTCTTTCCGAGGTGGTCCATCTGTCCGGGTTCGATGTGTAGCGGACTTGATATCATTATCCTGGTCGCGATCTAATGCTGGGGTGATCTTAGTTCTGGATAGCTTCGGTTCGGGGTGTTAGGGTACCTGAGGTCGCTTTGTAGTGAATTGATCATGCTGAGCTGTCACTTGTGTTGAGTCACGTCCACGTGTCCCTGTTACGAGGTCGGGCCAAATTTCCTTTCATCAAACACTAATCAATGGAAATAGTTAAAGTAATTATTTTTGATAATTAGCTACACTAATGGTAATTTCGGCCTCAGAAAAACAGTAATTTCGTTACACTTATTTAATGCTAATCTTTATGAATGTATTGAATATTGGCTCGGTTCAACTATAATATTGTTAGGCTTGAGCTTGAGTTCGATTTGAACTCTATTTCTGGGTTGAAGTTCAGTTTGATTGATTATTAAATATTCAATGAACTCAAGTTCAGCTCAAAAGCTCAAAGACGAATATATTTTTGTATTTTAAATATATATGATATATTTTTTAAAATATATAGTATAATAATATAATTTATAATGTATTATAAATTATATTTTTATACTCTATATATGTATGTATGCATATATGTTAATCAAGCCAAACTTTTTATAGGTTGAGCTTGAAGTTGAATAACTAGTGGAGCGTACCTTGAGACTTGAACTAGATCCAAACTCAAGTCTTAAGTATTCAATTAGAGCTCAGTTCAATTGCAACTCTATTCACTTGTGTGTTCAATTTAATTAAAGTTAGTAAGCCTAATTAAACTAAATAATCATAATTAAACTAATTATTTCTTATTAATTTAAAATCCATTTAATTCTTATTTAAAAATAATTAAAATGATAATAATTTGATATGTAAATTATTACCTACTTAAACTCAATAACGTAGTTAACCATAATAACCTAATTAAATTAAAAAACCTAATAAACCTAATTAAATTGAAAACCCTAATGACCCTAAGAATCCTAAAAATCTAACCAACCTAATTAAATTGAAAACCTGATTACCCCAATATAAGTGTAAAAACCTAATCAATTAATTAACCGTAACTAACTTGGCTCAACTGGAAATGTTACAAGGCTGTGTTTACTTAAATTTTGATAAACAAAAATCCCTGTATCTCACGGGGCGACTAATATATTTATATATAAGTATATAAATGAATATATAGGAGATTTTCTTTTTAAGGTAAATTATAGATAGGTATCTTGTACTTTTGGGGTAGTGACAGATAGGTACCTTGAACTTTCAATTACAACACTTTGAATACTCTGAACTCTCAAAAATAGACACTTGGATCCATTCGGTAGTATTTCGTCAATTAAATATTACAAAATATCAAAAATATCCTTGGTATTTTTGAGATCATTCTATAGAAAAAATCATCATAGAATGCCATCCTTGAAGAATTTGAATATATGATTTGCTGTCCATGTAAGAACGTCATTGTGGAGAGATATTCGGTTACCTGAGAATGATCTAAAAACACATGAAAAAGAAATTTTTGACATGATGTAATTTTTAACTGATGGAATACTACCGGATGATGTAAGCGTCTATTTTTGAGAATTTAGAGTAATTAAATATTGCAATTGAAAGTTGAGAGTACCCATTATAATATAATATATGTATGTAATATTGAATTTCTGGACCGGGCTCGACAGTTGACAATGCGGGCCCAGGACGAAGATAAAGCTGCAATTGAAGCCAAACGAACAAAATCTAGTATTGGTTTGGTCCAAGCTGGAACGTAACAAACCGAAGGAGAGCAACAAATGGCACACTGTGTCACTCCACTAACATCGTCAATGGCTTCTTTGGGTTGCGCTTGTCGTTTCTTCCCATCGGCGACCACAAGAGCTGAAGCCTATTCACTCCCTCTCCTCTCCCCTCCTCCTTCAACCCCTCGGTCTTCCCTCAAATGCCTCAAATCTTCTCCTTCAGTCTCGCCATTGTTCCTCAATCAGGTCTGTCGTAAGTACTCTTTTATCTCTCCTTTCTCCTGTCTCTCGGTTCATTGGTTGATCGTTGGGTGTGCTTTTTGGTCTCTCAGAAGTTTCAGAGGAGGACGCTGGTTCACGCTCCCAACGCCGGTGGTGTAGTTAGATCACCGACGTGCTTCGCGTCTGACCCTGATCAGTTAAAGGGTGCTAGAGAGGATATCAAAGAGCTTCTTAAGACTACATTTTGCCACCCAATTTTGGTAACACTGAACTAAACTGAGCTGACATTCCATGTTTGTTTTCTAGTCAATTCCTTTATTAATGGTTTCGATAATTGATTTCCTTCAGCGATGGATTGAATGCTTATCTATGTGGAGTTAAATATTTTTGCTGGACAACGTGTTGTTCAAATGATGGTACATTTATTCAATGGTTATGTTTTTAATGGAACAATGGTGTAAGACTATTTTATGTTTCAATTTAGTTCTCAAGTATCATTATTTGACTATTAAATGGGAAAAACCTCCGTTTCCCTAATTGTATTTTATAATGATTCTGCAATATTAGTAACTGTGGAATTAATGGGCGTTTACAAGCTACTCAAACTATTGACAGTCATTTATGAGAGAACAGTAAGTAGAACAAACTGAATTCTTGCAGCTGAATTTTGCCAGCATAACATCTTTTTGAGTTTCAATTTATTGTTTGAACTTTGCGGTTTGAACTACAAATATCAATTCAAAGTTCTCTGATACATTTCCTGTATTTCGGTGGTTTCACCACCCAAGGTGCCACAGATGTTACAAAATCAATTAGAGATTTGTGGGTGGAACTTGTTTTACGTGTTATAAATTTGGCTAGAAATGCTTATGCATTGAATTCCTTGAAAGAAGATGACTGCACAAATTTATTGTATTCCTCCTTCCAAGTCAACTAGTCCTCTAGCCTTTTTTCCCTTCAAATGAACCGATGAAGTGCACTCAACATAGTGCACTCAGATCTTTATTTAATTAAAGAATCACCCTTTACCTCTCAAATGAACCGATGAAGTGCACTCAGATCTTTATTTAATTAATTCACAATGAAGAAAAATATGGGAAACCACTTCTTCACAGGAATTGCTTATCATAGTGAACGTCAGTTCTGCCTATCCAGCTGTCCCTGTGGGAGATAAGATTGTCAAGCAACCATCAAGATTTTATCCAAAAAACTGTCTACATGAAAAAGTATATTTTGGTAAGGATACTTGGTGCTCAAATCCATTGGCAAAGGAAGGATCCTTTTCCTTCACTTATCAAAGTAGATTAGAATGACTTGACTGAAATGACATCATTTGGGTCTAGAACCCACATCCTTCCATCCTTATGACTTGGGATCAATCTTTGAGAGCTGGAAATGACCTAATAAGCCATTAAGCAGGTTGGTTTCTATACTACTAAATAGGCTGCCATTTTGTAGCACTACAGGTCCAAATGGCACAGAGAGGTTAATTAGTTAATGCTGTTGTAGAAACATAGTTGGAGGAAAAATAAAACTTGAAGATAATGCTTCTTAATGATGCTTTCAAAACAACAATATTTTGTTCTCACAATGCAGATTATAAGGGAATGATAGATCAGTTAGCAGAGACAAACAGAAACAAGACATCCATGTTTCTGTTTTTATTGTTTCTATTGGAGTCAATAATCAGGATTCAGAAAAGGGCCTTAATGATTTACAATTGAGGTAGGAAATTCTAGTGAAAAATTGATCATTGTGTTTGGGGAAAATGACTATAGGTTTCTTCTCTAGGTATATAGGCAGAATTGTAAGGAGAGGATTAATGTGACATCTATAGTGGTTGATTAAACTTAAGATTGTATCCTCAACCTGATCTTAAGGGGTATGGGTTGGATATTAAAAGTTCAATCGTTCAGTACCAGCTAAGAGGGAGAGCATTGTTTTAAGATTCATACTTTTTTTGTGATAAATATTCAAGATTAATGCTCTTCAATAGGAAGTGTGCCTTTTCCACTGCTTGCAAGGAAGATGAGGATGTGGGAATTGGAATAGCTGAGTTTTGGATTTTGTATGGAGGTTTTTTGCATGAGCCTTCATCTCCAAAAGAAGTTTTAAAATGGCCATCTGGTTCTGGAAACAAAAGTTAAAGATTTCTGGTCGTCAATTCCTTTTGCGATTTGTTGGGGAATTCGGAAATAGAGGAATAGAATAATTTTTGAAGGTAAGAGTAGGGATACTAGAAGATTGGTTGCTGACATTGGGTTGATGATGATGGATTGGTTACTTGTCCACATTGAATTGAATGATATGTCAAGGAATTCTTCTAGATCAGTTTTTTGGCCTAGTGGAAATGAGATTTCCATGTGTTCATTCAAAGCCAAATGTATATTGTATTTTATTTTTTTTTGCTAATAAAATGAAACCTTTTCATTATGAGGTATTCCATTTACAATTGTAGTTATTTATGACTAGTAGGACCTCAGATAATGTTATAGGGCATTCAAATGGTAAGTGATGCTTACCATGAGAGATCTAGATGACCAAGTTCCTTATAGACCTAAAATATCCTAGCTAAGGGTAAGTTTGTGCAACTTACTTATAATGTTAGCACATGGATGGTTATCATAAGATGGTGTGGCATGACCTCAACTATTGGGGTGAGACTCTAGTCTACCATGTGGGTGTGTATTAGGATACACACTGATAAGATCCAGTTGAGATTGATTCATGAAAGGATATCTTGTCATTGTTGCATGAATCTCTTAAATGCAAAACCTTTTTAGTCATTGGACTTGAGGAATTACAGGGTTGTAGGGTTATGATTAGTCCCTTTGATATACCAGAAAGATGGCTGCTAAAGACCTATGGCTATGAAACTCCACATGTTGGGTATCTGCAAGTGATTCTATGGTTCTAGGAATCCAATAAGGGAGGGGTGCAACTTGGGTGGGTTAGGTCAAGTTGAGGGTCAACCCATGCCCAACTCTAAGTCTTAAACCTTAGGCTTGGGCCTAGCCCAACCCAAGATCAAGCCTGAGTTTACCAACCCGAGCCCAACCCAAACTCAAACTAACACATCTCAAGTTGGGATTGAGGTCAGGTAGGTTGGTTAAGCTTGAAGGTATTTTTTGAATAAAATTCATCTTCTGTTGGGCTTTGTAACCTAATTTCCATGTAGAATGAATTAAAAATATGCAAAAATGTCATTAACAAATGTATACATGCATAATTTGTACATGTATACATGTAGATGTATAATTAGAGAAAATATTTGTATATAAATAAAACACATAACGTGTATGTATATGTTTGTGCATGAGTATGAGTTTAAACTAATAATATACATATTGTAATTTGTGAATAACTAAATATAGTTTAGAGTGCATATGATAGTATAAATATGTAATCTATAGACATATTAGACCTGTTCATGGGCCGGGCTCGGGCTTGGCTTTTGCCAAAATTTGAATGGGCCCAGCTCAAAGCCCAAGCCCGACACTGTGTAAAATCAGGCCTGAAACCTGGCCCGTGAACAGGTCTAAGACATATATATGTTATAAATACATAACACAATATACACGTATGTAGGTGTGTATATCATAAAATGTTGGGCAGGCCTGGGCTACCCAAGGCCTCAACCCAAGCCCAACCCGAGTTTAGGTCAGGCCCAAACTTTCTGGCCTAGACCCAACAAGAAGCTTGAAAATTCAAGCTCAAACCTTGCTAAAGCTTAGATTTGGCCCACCCAAGTTGCATTCTTAATTTGTATCCTCAGACAAGAGGAGAGTGTCATTGCCAAGAAGTTAAGTTGAATCAGTACTTTGATAAAGGAATCTCAGTGAGGCTAGGGCTTTTGTGTGCCCCTGGGGAACACCGGAACACTATAATGAGTATGGAAGAATCCTAGTCAAAATGGGAGTCTTTGGAAGGAATCCTAGTTGCATCATGACTCTAGTATTTTGGTTCTATAGGAATTTGAAATGAATATGGGAGAGTCCTTGTGGCACTGGAACTCATAGGAAAGTTTCTCAAGGCTTGTCTTGCAATGTCCTAATTGAACTAGGAATCCCTGATATACCCGGGTGATTATATGCTAGCAACTACCTTGAAAGAGTTTTAAAGCAAGAAACTAAGTTTTGAGGGGGTTTCCTAGTTGGAGTAGGAGCGTAGGACTCTTAGTTAAATCCCCATGTGATGGTGATTGGTCCAAACAGTGACTTATGCGTAGTATCTCAATCAGATTTGGAGATTGTAGTGTAAAAAGATTGAGTTGTAACTTTACTTTGCATGAAGGGGTCAATGTGATAATTTCTAATACTCAAGGATTTGATTGCAAATGTGTTGTTGGACCTCTTTACAATTTTAGGAAGCCTTTCTAATTCTGACTATATATTAGAGAGAGTGGTTGGAAGTTCCAATATAAGAGCAATGAAATAAAGTATCTCCTTGGAAATCCTAATCCTTAAGGATGGAAACTCTAATAGGATCTCTCACGCCCCTTAGAACTCTGCTTCTCTTAATATATAAGATATTAGAGAGCTCTGATGGGTGTACGATCATCTCTAAAGGAGAGTTTGTTGTACACTTTCTGGTGCCCAATAGATCTAGAACTAAGCGCTATAAAGCTGCAGTGAAAGGGAGTAGTGTGACTTTCATTGTGGGATACAACTTGGCCAGTTGGATGAACCAATTTAGTAGAGTTTTGCATCAAAGAATTATGGTTTGGATTTTGGACATGTAATTGAAGCTTCTACAGGTGTGAAATAATTAAAAATTAAAATAGTCAAATACCCCATGGAGATCTTGGGTTTATAGTGAAATCGATTGCTTTTCCTTTCTGCTATGTCACTTTCATGGCCATCTCTTGAGATGGAACTACGGAAGGGGCTATATCATTGTAATTCATTGATATATATATATATATATATATATATATAGTTGCTATTTCTTGCTGGTTGAGTTAGGTCTCAACCAAGAAACAGAAGGCCATTACCCAATGTTGGTCCCAGATATCTGAAATTAAAGTAGTCAACAGTGTTCCGTCTCTGCCATAATAAGTGTAATAAGTCAATCTGTTAGTTTGGTAATGTAGGGGATCAATAATCTTCTCCACTATGATATTTTGATATGCATGTCTCATAGAGGAGTGAATGGTGATAGCTTAAATTAAATGAAAATTTTCTTATGCATTATCATGATTTTATATAACTACAGGTTCGCCTGGGATGGCATGATGCTGGTACGTATGACAAGAACATTGAAGAGTGGCCAAAACGAGGTGGAGCTAATGGAAGCCTGAGATTTGAAATAGAACTCAAACATGCAGCCAATGCTGGTAATGGTTCTCCTTTTTGCATACTTTGTTTTGGTGGATAGAAATCATCTCATAATCTGGTATTTCAGGTCTTGTAAATGCATTAAAACTTCTCCAGCCTATCAAGGAAAAGTATCCTAATGTGACATATGCAGACCTTTTCCAGTTGGCGAGTGCTACAGCTATTGAGGTCTTACTCTTCTTCTTTTGGAGTTATGAAGGAATAGGGTTCGTGAATTAAATAATTGTTTTACTTGCTGAGTTCCAGGAGGCTGGGGGCCCCAAAATCCTCATGAAGTATGGAAGAGTGGATGTCTCTGGTTCTGAACAGTGCCCCCCTGAAGGAAAGCTTCCCGGTAAGATGATTTTGATTAGTGGACAGTACATGTACAGATGTTTTTAAACTACTCATCTTTGAAGGCACTTTGTTTATTTTCTATTTTTCTTCTTGTTTTGTTAACTACATTGTAAGCTGAACCACTGTAGTCTAAGTAGCAGAGAAGAGGAGAAGAAGAAGAGATGCTGAAAATGTCGAAC